CGAGACATGATAGCGAAAATCAACAAGAGAACGCAAAATTGTAATCGTGCATGATTTTGTCTTTGCATGCGGTTCTAAGACATTTTATTGTTATTTCAAACAATTACTGGTATCTCAAACAACAACGGTAGGCATCATGAGAGTGAGAATAAACACTAAAAAACGCTGAAAACAACTCGCAATGATCGCTTTAAATAGAACCCTATATATGAAAAATAAAGATTACAGAAATTTAAGTATAGTGGTGTCATCAATCATATTACAATGTTATTATTATTATACTTTATTATATATCATTATCTTTATTATCTTGTTTTTAGTTGGTACATGTGTCCCCAGCACGTCAACCCAGAAGAAGCCGTGAAGATTCACATGGATATCAGAGCAAAGCAGTCGGTCGCAATCCACTGGGGTACCTTTAATTTGAGCAACGAGGTAGGCCTACATATAGCAATGTGTGATCATACGTGATTTTATATAAGATGCAATTTCATCCTTTATGGCTGTACAACTGATTATGAATTTATCCAATTAATTTTACCAACGAGGTACATATAGCAATGTGTGATTATATGTGAGTTTACTAGCATGGTGTTCTCTCCTTAACGGCTTTATATCTGATTATGAATGTATCCAATTAATTGGAGCAACGAGGTGCATATAGCAATGTGTTATTCTACGTGATTTTACTACCATGCTGTCTCTTCTTTCCGGCTTTATATCCGATTATATTTTCCGATCGCCAACAGCGACAGGAGTACGTTAAATTATTAAAACAGCAGTAAATTATTGAAATTATGACGACGATGATGATGATGATGATGATGATGATGATGATGATGATGATGATGATGATGATGATGCAAGGACATCACAGAACATTACGTGAAGTTTTGCCATCACATAACTGCACCTTTACCGACACCATTTCTGACACAGTTAAAATGACTCAAATTAAATGAATAACAGTTAAATGAATAACAGTTAAACGACTTAAGTTAAATGAGTTAAATGAGTTGTGTGAGATGACGGAATCGATCGCTGACCTGACTGCCTTGTGTTTTTTGTCCCTCAGGAGTACGACCAGCCGGTGAAGGACTTACACGAGGCTCGCGCTAAGAAACTGGCCGACGCGACGTCGTTCATCGTGTTGAAACACGGACAGACGAAAACTTTCCCGTCCGGAGCATCGGGAAGGAATCCGTACCTTCTCCTCGCCGCGCATAAGCCGACAGAAGACAAACAGATACCCCGACGAATGGAAGCCCATCTCTGAAGCGTTAACGAGCGAATTGTTAGCGTCCCCTCTCTGAAGAGTTAACGAGCGAATCGTTAGCGTCCCCTCGCTGAAGAGTTAGTTCATTAACGAGCGAATCGTCTATTCTGCTCTGTGAAGTCTTAACGAGCAAATCGCCTATTCCGCTCTGAGGCCTTAACGAGCGAATTGACTATTCTGCTCTGTGAAGCCTTAAGCTGACAAACGAGCGAATCCCGTCCCCTCTCTGAAGCGATAATTATATATAACGTGCGAATCGTCTTGTCACGCCGTCAACTTAAACTGGGTCTACACTACCGACTTTGTATTGGCGAGTTGGAATAACTTCCCAATTCGGCAACTCCGAGTTGGCGAAAAAAGAACATGTTCTAATCTCCCAACTAGTTGCTATCGATCGGTTGGTCGCACAACTTTTGCGTTTCCACTGCCGATTGTCGGGTATAGTTGGGAAGTTGGTCCAATTCGCCAATTTGCCAACACAAAGTCGGTAGTGTAAACCCAGCTTTACTTTCTCTGTAGGCATATCTGCAAATTCGGAAATTGTTTACGGTTGTTTGCGCGTGCGCACGAATGCAGCATACTCATTTGCTTTTACTGTGGCGGTGTGGACCTGGGAGCAGGTGTAACCTCATCCTTTCGCCTACGGCAAAATTCTCAGTTGGCCTACACCCATTTCGCCTACTCCCAATTTGTCTACACTAAAAATCCACCCCATTCCCATTTTGTCTACCATCAGTTTGTCCACTAAATAATCATTTATAATTGTAATATATGGATTTGATATTTGATTAGCGTACATAGACTAGACGGAGTGTCATTCACACTAATTGTATTCTTTGTCGGCGGGGATACTATGGTTTCATGTCTGTCCAGCCGCCGCCGCTCGGTCCGCCGCAGAGAATTTCCCTTCCGCTCTATAACTCAACCCCTAATTGACCTAGCGTGACCAAACATGGTCTACTTACACATCTTGGGTAGTATGTGTGTCGCGTACCAAAACAGGTCACTGCGACCTTTAT